TTGCCACTTGCTCTGGGAGCATATTACTTAGCTGCTCTTGGTCTCTATTTCTTCATCTACAAATTTAGGATAATACCACTTGTTTTTCGATATCTGTGAAGAGTAGATGATTTGAACATTTAAGTGCTTAGGAGGGCTGACATATAGCAGGACTCAATAAAAATTGTCCTGAGCCTCCTCTTTAATTATCTCACTGAAGCTGTGCATGATTCCAAAGCAGGCCTTGGGCACCTGGGTTTGGTACTGATGGGAGGAGAAACATTTCCCTCAAGAAAGAGACCACACAAATGGAACTTCAGTGGGCCAAATCAGAATGCACGCCACCCTCTTGTCCCCCCAAAAAGAGATGATTGTCCTCTAAGTTCTGGGCTGTTCTCATGTGCTAGCTGCTAGGGAAAATGAGACAGTGTTTTGATGTGTGGAAATTCTCAGCAGGACTTGAGAATTCTACATGTACCTTGCAACAAAAAGCTGACATGAGAGCATCCTTCCCTCAATACTTCCCTCACCAGCACAGAAACCATCAGCAGTGTGTGTGTGTGTGTGTGTGTGTGTGTGTGTGTGTGTGTGTGTGTGCAGGTGTGCGAGCTCGAGTGTGTTGAGTGGGGGGTTGTGCTCAAATGGTGTGATTAAAAACTCTCCCTACCTCTCACTATCTAAGGAATGAAACTTTAGAGTTTAAATGATAAGAGGGGGCGGGGAGATGAGAAAGAACATTAGAGAAACAGATCTTTTTCCTTCTCCCTACAGACTGCGTCGACCAGTTGTAAAGGGGTCACACTCGGCAGAGCTAACCCCACTTGGATATCAGCCCAGACTGGCAGCTTATTTTAATATGACTTAAGGAGCTTTTAGGGGACCAGTGTCAATTGCATGTACACATTGGGGACAGAGCCTTTCTTTGGAAAGAGTAGCAATCTGTTACTTTCAGTTCCATGGGATATTAGAGCGGCTGATTTTGGAAACTACAGCCTTAAAATATCACAATTGAATGTAACAAGATCGATTTATTTTATGGTCATCGGCTAGTCCAAATCGTCTGAAGATGCCTTCTGCCTGCCGGTTCTTGTGCAAGTGGCAGCAGCATCGATTATGCTGTCTCCCTTCGACACCACCGCCTACCTACTACCGAATTCATGCGCTACAGGTACAATGAGTCATGACAGTCAGCAAAGGAATCTTCTGAAACTGCACTTCTCACTTAGGTGAATGAGGCCACTGTCTGATGCCGGGAGGACCATGCAGACAGACCTTCTGGATGAGGTGATACAGCCTTGACCGGGGTTTCCTGTTCCTGGGCAGCACCAAGTGGGACTCTGTCCTGGCTTCCTGTGTCCTAACTGCCTAAGACCTGAGGGTGACGTCTGTGTCTTGTTCATCTCCCCACTGCCTGACGATGTTAGGATCTGAAAGCTGTGAGGGACCGTTAGCACCGTCTAATCTAACCTCCCTTCTCACAACAGGGGAAACGGAGGGTCTGAGAAATGAGAAACTTGACCAGCTTTGTTCTGGCAGGACTGGGGATCAGAACCTCCTTTCTTCACTTCCAGGTCCTGTTCTTTAAACACACACACACACACACACACACACACACACACGCAC